CAATTAGACTAATAGACCATGGGAATGTCAGCCTCCATGACGCTGAGACCAGAAGAACTAGATGGTACCTGGCTACCACTACCAACTACTCTGAAAGGGATCACATTAGAAGGTCCTAGATAACTGTGGAAAATAGTATTGTGTTTCCTCAGAAAGCTGGAAACAGAAATACTGTGTGATCCATCAATTCCTTGACTTGGTATGTATCCATGGAAAACAGGAGCCAGGATATGAGTAGATACATGCACAGTGATGTGCAATTGCAGCACTCCTCACAATAGTAAAAATATGAAATCAACTTAAATGTCTAGCAATGGAAGAACGTATAGACAAACTTTGGTACACACACACAATGAAGTATTGATGCAATGTTGAAGAATAACAATTAATCTATGAAACACCATAACATGGATGAACCAGGAGCACATTATGCTGAGTGAAATTAGACAATTACATAAGAAAAATACTGTATGAGACCACTATTATAAAAACTCAAGGAGAGGTGTTCATGCTAAAAGAAACAATCTTTGATGGTTATCAGGGATGGGAGAAAAGGGAGAGTAATTCACTGGCTAGAGGGTAGACACATGTTAACTCGGATGATAGGAAGGGCAATATAAAGAAAAGGGAGGTTGGCAGAAGAAGACAGGTGAAGACACAAGAGGTATGCAAGGGCTAAAAGGGATAGAAGTAAATAGCGTTATATACACACCGTGGAACAACAGTGTTCTGTGGATAGACGCATGGACAGACACACAGGTTGAATGGGTAATGGAAGAAGGGTGGGAGCATACCCACAAATATATAGGGGTTTGAAAGGGGAAAACTGTACATGGATATTTACTTTTGCTGCAAATACAACTATGAATGTAGTGGAGCATACTGTAGGCAAAATGATAAACAAAAACAAGAACAAACTTCTTAGGTATTATCAAAAATTGTAAGGCCATGAGTTGCTGGACCTGAGGATTCAGAATCACAGTCTTGGGAGACACCATGGTCAATTAGCATAACATAGTCTACAAAGACAAATTTCTACATTCTACTTTGATGAGGAGCATCTGGGATTTTAAAGGCTTACTAGTGACCATCTAAGATAAACCTGTTGGTCTCTCCAGGTATGCAAGATATAAGAGTGATGACAAGTGAAGATGTTTGGAATCAATTATTCCAGTGAACTAATGGAATATGTGAACATCAATCTCCACAACTCTGAGACCAGAAGAACTACCACTTCTTGGTACCACTAAGTGGCTATCAGTACCAACTGCTCTGAAAGGGATCTCATTATAAGGTCCTGGATAGAGTGGCAGAAAATTTAGAACAAAACACAGAATTATAAAACATGGCTAGGCTTACTGGTCAGAAAGAGAGTGGAGGAATCTTAGACTATGGCCCTTGACCTTCAGGTCTGGAACGAACTCATCCTCTTGGCCAAATTTTCAGCCAAGTCATATACAAAGTACATAGGCTGGGATAACACTAGTAAGGTATGCTCACCATGGAATTGTCAATCATTCAAAACCAAAAGGGTAACAATTTACCTAAGGACAAAGTTGAGAAGGGATGGGAAGGAGGGTGGAATGGAAACAGGGAGCACAGGGAGGAAGTGGGATAACCGTTGTTACACGGTAGGGTTTGCAAACACTGAGATGAAACAAAGTGTAGGATTTGTTACATGTAAAACTGATCTTGTCTTTAACCATCATTTAACTCACAATAATATGTT